AAACTATTAATGATTTTGTTTTTTCTCTCAATATTAAATACTATACTAAGATTTCCATTGTTACATTCAATATTTATCATTAAAAACTATTAAGAAATCAACAAGACATTTATATTATTGAACGTTTTGAAAAGTTTGAGAGTTGGAATCTTGTCAAGACATTAGCAATATTTTTTCTATTCCATATTAAGTACTCACTCTGGTTCTAAATGTTTGACACCATTGACATTTTACCGTCCGTTTCTAGTTTGTGAAATAGGTAGAACTACATGTATAAATGAAAGTATATTTAACAATGAATCAAATGATAGGAAAATAATTAATAATTACATATTTTTTTTAAATAAAACGAATGGTCAAGATGTTTTAAAAAGTCAATGATGTTGAATATTTAGAAATGGATGGAGTAATAATTTCGACCTTTTTATTATGATGGTTCGCACATTCGCGATATGTGGCATCGTCAAGATCCACGCCAAGTCGATCCGCGCGCATCCGGATAGCTAATTTGTTGGTCAAGCAGGGCAAACTAAACGAAGTTCGAGCTGTCAATTTTTTCTGACTATGTGTTGCACGCATTTCCAACACGAGCCGAGAAAAAAATCAGTTGTAGCGCAGAATAGTAACCGTGTTAACTTTTCTGGTTGAATAGTTTATAGAGGCCCCGTGTAGATCCCCTGATAAAATTTTACACCTTATCGCATCGAATGTTTAGACACATGAATGGTGTATTAAATATAGACAAAAAAAATAACTAATTATACATATTGTGTGTAAATTGTGAGATAAATCTTTTAAGCCTAATTGCGCCATGATTTGACAATGTGGTGCTACAGTCAACATTTGCTAATGACAGATTAATTAGGCTTAATAAATTCGTCACGTGGTTTACAGGCGGATTCTTTAATTTATTTTGTTTTTAGACTATGTTTAATACTTTAAATGTGTATCCGTATATCCGATGTGACACGCCAAAACTTTATACGCCTGGATTTAAACACAACCAGAATCGATTTTGGCCAACGAGTCCCCCTCCACCCTCTAGGTGGACGATAACTTTGTCCGTTTATAATAATATATTTATTTTGAAAGAAAACATGACCCGTATAAAAAAATCAATTTTTACATACGGGCATCTTACTAGGCCCACCAGCAATCAGTCACTAGACCGGCCACCCACTCCCCTCAACTTAAAAAATATATAAAATTCTTACATTTTCCCTTACCTCCCTCCTCTCCTCTCCTCCCACATCCTCTCCTCACGGAACTCCACCTCCTCTGCACTTTTTTTTTGAGGGGAACTCCACCTCCTCTGCACTTCATGGGCTAATGAAGGTGGTGGCGGTGTCTGGCACTCTGGAAGGTGGCGAAGGCAGTGGCAGCATTGACAGCTCCCTCGCAAGGGCACGGGAGCGGCAACAGCAGCATCATCAGGGCTCGTGGCGGCCAGATCCAGTGACAGCTCTCTCGCGTGGTCATGGGGTCAGCGGCGGCTCAATTTGACAACGACTCCATCCTGTAGGCATAGGATCGGTGGTAGCGGCTTTGTCACGGCTTGCCGTACTAATTTTGGGCCGGAGGGAGTAATTTTGAATAATCAAGTTATATTATTTTGAGTTACTGTGATTATTGCCTAACCCATGATTTGCTATATCATGCTCCTTCGTAACCTAAGCATAGATTTAATTGTAAAACATTGCCATATCAGTAGATAGTACCGCAAATCCTTATACCAACAGACTTGTTTTGCCTGTCGTCACTTTGGCTTTACCATGCGATGTTTGTTTTTCATACAAGTCACTCTTGTAGAGTGTCATGGAAGATTATTCCGGATGAAGATAAATGTTGTGGAGTGTGAGGCCATGCAGTATTGTGCTTGAGGTGTGCATGAGCCTATGCTAGTTTGGTTGCTTCCCTAGATGTAATGACAAATTCCTCTTGTTGCACATATTATGTTATGAAATGTGATTCAGAGCATCAATTATTCACTGAGAAAGCGCAGGAAGGAGAAGAGTTCTTCGCATGCGAGGAGTTATAGGTCTATCTTTAGGATATGCTTTCAAGCAAGCATATGCATGGTGGTCTTTTGACTTTTCTCCGTGGATCTTTGGCTTGTAGATTAGGTATGTGTGTTGTAAGCTTGACCTGTCAGCCACTGAAACGTGTCATAATATGCTTTTATGTTATATATTATGTGTAACAACAGGGTTATATAAAGGCAAGTAATCTGTTTTTCAATATGTGTAAGATCGAAGTCTTGAACGATTGCGTGTGCTTTCGGGATACCATACTAATCAAACCATGTATCCCCACAAATGGCTCAACTGGCCAAGCCACGCCTGCTTGGCCGCTAACAGGTGGGGTTGGGCCCACTAGTCATCCCCAACGTCGTGCTGGTCATCTCGCTCGTTGGCCAAAACCCTAGCACAGCTGGCCGCTCAATTCGCCTAACAATTAACGTTGTCCATAAATTGATTGAGGGGAATCGATCCATTCCTCTTGCTCTTCAATTCCACCACTTTTCCCCGACACATCAATTGCACACTACATTGAAGCGAAGAGGAGGTGTGCCATGGATGTGCCATAACTTCTAGTCTGAAAAGGGGGCTATGTTAGCTAGATGAGAAGGTAAGATGACAAGCCTATTTGGCAGATGGCACTAATCTACTGCTAATTTCCCACTCTTTAATGCAACTAGAAAGATAGCCCGCGCATGTGCGCGGGCACCTTATGAGTGAAATTTTATTATGAATATTTATGTGTGAATGACTTTTTATTAAAATATTTTTATTATATCATAAACTCAAAATTAAGCTTATTTAGTGTGCTTTAAATGCTAGTTATTTTCTTACAATTACACTTGCAACACATAAATTCTAAAATAAAATTACTTGAGATCATGCAGTTTTGAAATTATGAGAAAACATTATGTCGAAACAATGGAGAGGGTTCCTATTAGAAAATTTAGGATATTTTGACTCACCAAAAGGATATCCACAACCCCAAAACAAATCCAACAATACCATTTTTTGTTTGATTTTATTTTAAGTTTTATATGTTTCCATTCTAACTGTCCTCATAAAATGTTTGATTTTTTCTATTTAGGGTTTTAAATCCAGCAACATTTTTTCAGTTTTTAATTTATTTCATGTCCTTTTTTTTGGAGTTTTCCCTACTATGAATCATCCTTGAAATGCCTTGATGTTTGCAATTTAGGGCAAAAATATAAATGCATTTATGGCATGGGGTAAAGGCATATGTTCTAAATTTTCTCTCATGAAATATTGAATTAATGGTCATAGTATTTTTTGTGAATTATCACTAAATTGAAGTGTTTTATAACAATTACATGTTTCTAGATTGTTCTACATCAGGACTGGATTTAAAATGTTAGCATGTTTTACCAAAAAATTTAAAACATGGACATGGTCTTTAATTCCTATATGGAATTGACTTGTTACATTTCTAAGGCCACCTCAAGGTTGTATCATTGTTAAGATTCCTATGTGCAATCCACATGCTTATCAGTATGATCTTCAACCGACCACACCTTTATTTTTAACTTGTTGTCTATAATGCTATATGAGTACATTTATGATTAAAAAATTGTGTCACTTAAATTTTTTTCTCTAATTTATTAGTGCCTTTATAGATCATATGTGTAATTTGGATAATATGATCATCATTATTAAGAACATTTATTTATCTCTGGAAAAGATTGCTTTAAAAGTATAAAGGTCAATTTGTATAAGCATAGCCCCCATATGCATGTTAAGAGAAATTAATTAAGTACGTAGAAAGTCGTTATATGTCTAACGGGATATAAGTAATAGATGGATGTCCATTTGTGTTTTTTTCCTATATAGATAATTTTAGTTTGAATTGTTAAGGAGATAAACAAAACAAAGAGAAAAGAATGGTGCAGGCCATACATGGGCAAGGAGAGAGGGAGGTTTAGGATGTTTTTCTAGATGATTAATCTAACCACCTAAAATAGTGCATTGGATGTTTAAGTCAAAACCGATGGTCGGATGTTTTGTTTTCTTGTCAAAATTTTAAGGATTTTATCTAATATATGATAGTGACGTAACATCTTAAGAGCGTTTATAGGTGGACTTTTAAAACTGCATGCCGCAATGGAGTATGAGGGATGCAAAGAGGTTTGAGATATTTTTCTTTAAGAAACAAATAGATCTAATGACCCAAAATAATGTGTCGATCGATTGAAAATAATGTTTCCATAGATTTATATCAAAACCAATGGTTGAATTTTTTTTTCAAAAATTAAAAGATTTTTCTCTGATTTAAGAATGTCATATAGTAGCTTAGAAACATTTATAAGATGTTTAATGGATTTGAATGCCGCATAGGGATGGGGAGAGAAGGAGAGAGGTTTGGGTTTTTCTATTTAATAATACTAACAATCTAAAACAATGTATCCATCAATTTAAGTAGAAATTGATAGTCGGATACTTCATTTTTTTATATTTTATAGTATTTTCTTTAATTCAATAGCACTACGTAGCGGTTTAAAAGCGTTTGTAGGGTGTTTAAAGTGTCAGAGGGAGAGTTAGTAGACCTAGTAGGTGAAGGTCTATTTGTGGGGCATTTTACCTATAAAAATGATTTTGGTTTTAACTAATTTCTTATGAACACAAAAAGAAAACATATAGAAGAAGGAACGGGAGAGGGAAGTACGTACGTACCTTACATACATACGTTCGTTTGTTTGTAAAAAGGGAGAGGTACCGGATGTGGTTTTTATTACCAAATAGATCTAACGATGTAAAATAATGGGTTCACCAATTTAAATGAAAATCAATGGTTGGATTTCTCTTATTTATTAGAATGCCACTTGGCAACTTGAGAGTATTTATAGGATGCCACTTGATGACTCGAGAGCGTTTATAGGAAGTTTAATGGACTTTTAGTATATAATAGATAGATAGATAGATAAGTAGAGTATAGACCGACATGTAGTTTTGGCTGGAGCAATAGGATGATAGAAAACCAAACATGTCTGAGCCCATCTGAGATGGGCTGTCCATGAAAGTACACGATTATTTCTTTGGCAGGACAAACATACAAGTACAAACTTTATAGGTTGTAATTTGATTGAGCACCTAATACATATATGATTAAGCATGAGTACATAAATAAGCTTTCTATGTGTTTCCGCTTAGGCACATAAGTTTTTGTGAAATCATGTAAACCTTATTTCTGATAGCACATTTGTTATGTTCTTTTTGAAGAGGCATTATTTGTTACATTGGCATTTATGAGCAGCTTGGAGCAATGTGAGTAACTGGACATACATTCAGGCTAGTGTGTTTAGCGGCAATAAGTCCAGGTGCCTCCCGCATATCAAGATCATTGTGCAACATTCCATTGGGCAGCTTCCAGTCAAAATGGTAGAGCAGGTTAGCCAACGCAAACTCCATGTTGGCCAGCCCAAGATTAATGCCAGGACATATTCTGTGACCAGAGCCAAATGGTAGAAACTCAAAGTTACTCCCTTTGTATTCTATATTGTTGTTTTCGAACCTCTCTGGCTTAAACTCCTCGGCATCCTCCCAATACTTACTATCCCTGCATATTGCCCATACATTCACAAATACAGATGTACCCTTGGGTACATCATAACCCATGATCGTGCATGTCTCACGGCATTTGCGAGGAGCCAAGAGTGGTACTGGACAATGTAGTCTCAAGGACTCCTTTATTACCATCTTGAGATAGCTGAGTTGGGCAAGGTCATCTTCAGTGATGGTGTTCTTTCCTTCAAAGGCTTGCCGCACCTCGGCTTGTGCCTTTGCCATTACTCTAGGGGAACGAATGAGCTCCGCCATGGTCCATATCAGTGTTGTTGATGATGTATCAGTGCCCGCCGCAAACATGTCCTGGAATGATGGTTTTTTTAATTAACTATATATAACATGTTTTTTTCTTAATTCATTTTTACATAAACTTACACAATATGGTGAATCTACAATACATATAGCTTAAAGATAATATAATTCTAGTACTACTAACCATGATGCCATTTTTTCAGCAGAACTTAACTATAATAGGTTCTTCTATCAAGATTACGCATTGGATGTTCCACGGATTGCTAACACTCCTACACTTGTCTCATAGTCCCACTGCATGCATGCATACATGTTATGCACGACTTCTTTCTCTTCTCTTCATGATGGTTGCTCTCCCGATAAGATATCCATGTAAAACCAATTACTTTAAAAGTTTCAAATGATTTTTTTCTAAATTATTAATCCAATTTATAATCTGATCAAACTATTTTATTACTTATAATTTAACATTTATAATAATATCTTACATGATTATATTCTTGACGTAAATAATTTTGTCCACAAAACGGGTGTTATTTCACCACTTACAAAAAAAATGTTTCATTACTTGAAGTCAAATATTTGAACTCATTTCATAAAATGTTTCAAACTAATCTAACATTTAAGGAGTACTAACTACAACACTGACAACAACTACTTGAACGGTGGGTCCTAACTAGTGAAACATCAAAGGAAATCATATATTTGCAAAGACCTTTGTTTTGTTGAAATATCATTATCTATACTCCTTATAAATGGGAGTAGTGGTGATGGTGATTCTGCCACCACCCTACACCAACTCACATATTTTTTAAGAAAAAAAAGGACATGTGAGGTTAGCAAGGTGGAGTTAACAAGGTTCCTAAATGCAACATTATGTGGTAACTATTGAAACTACTCCCATCAACTTCTACTTTTGTGTGGAGTTAACAAGGTTCATAAAATGCAATATTATGTGGTAACTATTGAATCATCACATGTTACTTGGTGAAACATTCATGGATTACCACGTGCAATATTTGCAAATGAACTAATAAAATATAAGTAAATACTAATTGAAAACATCTAAATAAGTCAGTGTAAAACATTAAAAAATATATATCAACTAGTAAAGAAAAACTAAAAATTCACAAGAATATATCATGTAAAATCTTATAGGAATTATTTGATTATAATAAAAAATTTAATGATATAATTGGATCGTAGATCAGATTATAAATACATTTGGAGAAAAATTGATTTATTGTTCAATACGTGGCAGCCGGCTTTAGTAGGTTTTCTCTGGCTATCTACGTGCTGTAGTTAATTAGGATATATAGAGATGTGTGATGCTGGCTTACCATCAAAAGCACAATTATAACATCATTTGTAATTGGCATCGGTCCGCCGCCTTCCTTCTGGAGCCTGAGCAGGACGTCGAGAGAGCATGACTTTCTCTCCGCCGCCGCCGCCTGATCGCCGGTGTCCGTCTCCATTTGGTCCTTGCGTTCTTGGATGATCTGCTCTATGATGCGCTCCATCTTCTTGCGGTTCGCGAGCGCCCTCCGCGGCGCCATCGCCACCATGGACGCGAGCTTCGACGACGGGAAGAGGTCGGCGACGCTGAGCGAGAACGACTGGACTACCATGGCATGCAGCGCCGCCAGGTACTCGTCGCTGTACTTGGACCGGCTCCCGACGGAGCACCGGAGCACGATGTCGTTGATCAGCTTGGCGGCCATCTCGGTGAGGTTCACGGCGGTGCCGCCCGACGCCGCGGCGGCCGACACGTCGCGCACGAGCCGCGCCACCTCCTCCTCGCGGACGCGCCGGAACGAGCGCACCCGCGCCGCGGTGAGCAGCTCCTGCGTGAGCAGCCGGCGGAGGTGGCGCCACCGCTCGCCGTACGGCGCCAGCGCGACGTCCCTGCCGCCGAAGCTGAACGCCGCCGTGGCGCTGGTCATGTGGCGGTCGGCGAACGCCATGTCCTTGCTCCGGAGGACCTCTTGCGCGGCCTCCGGCGACGAGGCGACCACGGTGGGCACCTCGCCGAACCAGAGCTGCATGACGGGGCCGTGCTCCCGTGCCAGCCTCCGCATCGCGCCGTGCACGCTCTCGCTCGACGGCACGAAGTGGTGGATGCTGCCGATCAGCGGCAGCGTGCTTGGCCCCGGCGGCAGGTTAAGCCTCGACGGCTTTGTGTTTGCGGCACATGAAATCACCGGCAGCCTGTGCCTGTGGCAGACTACTCCTGGGCGCGTGGCGAGAAGCACCATGTCGCCCATGTCTCTAGCTACTGTACTAGTACTACGTACGTGCTAGATGTAGACTAGACTACTGTGGTGTGTGTGCAGCTTTACTCTACAGCATTCGTGTTATAAATAGCCGTGGCATTGCGTTGTGTAGCAATAATATATCTGCCACTAAGGCTCTAAATTTACGGTCAAATAATGGAGGTGTATACTAAAGGGCATCGTGAAAATGTATACTCCCTCCTCCGTCAGATAAAAAAACAACTATAGAATCGGATGTGGTAATGACTAGTACTAGATTCGTACTACTAACGTGTGCCACATTCGGTACTAGCTAGGTAAGATTTTTATGGGATGGAGGGAGCAGGTATGATTTAAATTTTTATTTATAATATTTGTTTAATTTGCTATTCTAATGATCCAATTAGAACACTCTCTTTGCCCTTTCTCCAAATTTTAGCATGTATTAATTTAGTCAATTCGGTAACTTTTCAGTGAATTAAATCAGACAAGGATTCCGTGCATGGTATACAGATCTCGGGTACTCATTACCATTTTACGCTTTGAAGACTAACTTTGTTGTATAGTACCACATTGGTTGTGGAAGGGCAAAGGATCTAACATATAAGTGGGGGAGCCGCTTACCTCATTGGCTAGCTTTTGGGGTGGGAAAGGCCCTTTACGATCCTACAAACTTCTCATTGTTTGCTAAGCAGCCTAGCCAAAATTTAAATTTTGATCGGGTTGTTATCATTGTAGTATATTTTTCCGCCTTGGTTTTTAAACCGCGTGAATGATAGAGATATAAAAGTTTTAGTCTAGTTTTATACTTTTGAACCTTTTTAGCACTGACGTTAGTGATTTTGAAACTCCATATGGAGTAGTAATAGGTAGAGGAAGTTCATAAATATTGATATAGATGAATTGGGAATATCCAGCGAATAAATCAAATAAGTGAAAACCCATGAAAAGCATATTTAAATGTTCTCCAAATTCAAGAAAGAAATTACTAGAGATTGGCATAAAGCATGAAATATATTCATTCCAAATCTCAAGTCGAAACTAAGTTTGGTTATAAAATGACAATTTTTAGATGAATAGTGTTGGTTAATTACCACTACAGCAGAAACACAAAAATACGACGGCACTATAGGTGTTGAAAATTATAGATCGGACACCTATAGTGCATTTCCCACCCAAGAGCGCGTCAGCTGGATGCCTTTGGGGAGGATCGGCACAAATGTGGTGACGTAGGTGCCGATTATTAAAGGAACCGCCACCTATGAGTTCTAGGAGATATAGGTGTCGATTTCTTAATAAGAACTAGCACCAATGAAATCATCATTGTTGGTGGATTTTAATTAAACCGACACTTATGTGGAAGAACAAAATCACCGTTCCACCGGTTTACCAAGTAGCCAATCTTCTCCCTCCCCTCATCCTTATCCTCTCTGCCCTTCCTCCTCTCTCCCACCCCCCTCATCTTTATCCACACTCCCTTCTCTGCCCTCTCTCCCCTTTCCCAGCCCCTTTCCATGCCAAGGCAACCCCTCCTCCTCTCTCCCACCCCCCTCCCTCATGGAGGTGTCTAAGTTCAGCGCCACACGATTTGGTACTGAACAAAAATGTCACTTTTGAAATAAGTTTTGGCAGTGGTTCATTTGTAAAATTAGTTTTTTCAAACGTTCAAATTGTCAAAATTTGTGAAGTTAAAATTCGGAGTGAATGTATTTTGTGCCTAGTAGAGGTCTAGTAATTTTTTTTCAGTTTTTTTATGAGGGAGGCGGAAGCGGATGCGCCGTAGGAGGGTGGGAGGGAGGGAGGGAGGCAGATGCAAATGTGCCGCGGAGGGAGAGAGGAAGGCGGAAGCGGAGAGGGGGTGACACACGGGAGGGAGTCGAATGGACGGACGAAAAAGGGAGGAAGCCTTACCTATTTTTTAATTAGGTATATAGATTTTTTATGAACCTTTTTTTCGCCACTTTCTTAGGGATTCGGACGAATCTATTTTAGATTTCTTTTTGGCATTTTTTTATTTTTTTGATTTTTTTCGGCTTTTATAGGAATCAGACTTTTATTTTTGTTGCTTTTTTCGCTATTTTTTCTCGGACTTTTTTTTCCAATTTTTAAGGAGAATCGGATCTACGGTATTTCTTTTTTTTCGCCAATTTCTTAGGGCAATTGAACTTTTTTTAGGATGTTTTTTTTCTTTTTTGTTTATTTGGATGGACGAATGAAATGTTTTGAATTTTTTAAGTGGTAGAGATTTACAAAATGTTTGACGTATGGTTTTCTCTTATTTTTTTGATTTTTACCGTATATGACCCTAGATAAATAGCATGGTAAATAAACAAATTATGTACCGGTATAATACCAATTAATTAGATAGATAGAAATAAGAAAAACTAGAGTTCACTGGGACAAAAGCGATGATACTTCTTGCTGCACATCGCTTTCTTGGTCATACTCTGCTCTTTATTTCCAGTCATAGACGTCAACGTACGGTGAAAATCACCCGGAGAAAAGGCAGCGCTGGCAGTGACCAAGGAACCTTCATTATCTCATTTTCATTTTTCTTTACCGAGATTGTGACTAACAATTTAAACCAACGACGACGAGTTTTTTTTCTCAATCTGTCCTGAAGAATACATATATTAAATATAAATTACGATATCCATTGTAAAGCGAAATATCTATCACTAAAAACTGTTAAGGAAACAAACATAGAGAAGTCATTTATATTATTCAACGTTTTAATAGTTTCAATTGGAAAAATATAAGAGGTGCAGCACGCGTACGTACAGAACCGCTTTCTTTTTTCCAACGCATGGAGTAATAATTCCAAGTCAATCGTCTTCGGAAAATTTTGATGGTCAAGCACGAGAAAATTGAACGAAGTACGAGCTTTCATTTTTTTTCCAAACATCGGTTAAACTGGTTAAGTTACTAGCAGTGAAATATATCTATTTGTGTTTAAGGTATAGATTTGTTACGGGTCCTCTTATTTACGACTAATTTTTTTAGTGGCGGGTTACATAACCATCGACAGCGAGCCATCTATGATGAATTTATGAATCTCAAAGACTATGTCGGCGTAGTAGTCGAAAGTGTTTGTAGAGATAATCTGTGCATGCGTGTTTATAGAAGTGATTGTCATGTCATATGAACCCATGCGTGTTGTATGCATTTCTAATACGAACCGACAAAATCCAGTTGAGACGCCCAGCCGTGTTCTCTTTTTAATAGAATAGTGTAATTTCAGTGTAGCCACAGGCCCACAGCGATATATACATGCAGAGTGTGCATATTGGTATGATATACTCCCTCTGTTTTTTAATAGATGACGCCGTTGACTTTTTCTTTCATGTTTGACCATTCGTCTTATTAAAAAAAACTTACGTAATTATAATTTATTTTGTTATAAGTTGTTTTATCACTCATAGTACTTTAAGTGTGATTTATATCTTATACATCTGCATAAAATTTTTGAATAAGACGAATCGTCAAACATGTGAGAAAAAATCAACGGCGTCATCTATTAAAAAACGGAGGTAGTATATAACAAAGGCGTTATCTGACCTGCCTTCAAGCAATGGTCTTTAGTATTTACACAGTTATGAAATCACCGGGCAAAGCGTGTGTTCAGCCCACGCATCCCTTCCTCAGGCTTATCCGAGATTCCTATCTCGTGCGTACGCACGAGAATCTTAAGCGGCTCACAATCTCCAGCAGCTTCACATGCTTTCTCTTTTTTTTTTCTTTTCTGGTTTTTCTTCAACTTGTTTTTTCTCTCTCCCACGCATTTATTCAAGTGTTGAAAATTTTAACAATAGATTTATTCAAGTTTTGAATTTTGAGTTGAAGGCATTTTCGATTTAAGTAGGGAGTTTTGAATTTTGATATGAATGTTTTGAAATTAAAATTTAAAATTCGAGCTCAAAGTTTTCAATATAATGTAATGAATTTCAAGATGAAAGATTTAAATTCTAATATACATTAAAACAATTGTGAAAGAACGGAAAAAGGAACAGAACATGTGAAAAAAATGGGAAAAAAAGGTACGTTGGCTGGCAGACGCGCCAACTTCCGTGGGTGCGCGCGCTAGCAACGGAGTTGGCACGTCTACGCTATATAGGAAGTCCTAGAATTATCTCTAGTTAAAGATAAATTTGGGCTCGTACCAGATATATGAAAACTTATTCTAATGGGACTAAGAGGTAGAGACTAGAGAGATTGATGATGTACATCTAGACATGAGAAAGCAAATAAGTTGTGACACCTCTCCCTATATCTATGTCTATATATCTATGTCTATTGTTCATATACTGTGTGCTTATATATATAACAGTACCAAACTTGCAAATATGATACTCCCTCCGTCCCAAAATTTAACAACTTTTAGCCCCCAGGATTTGTCCTAAAATATAACAACTTTTTCATCAACATTCTATTCTCAACCAATTACAACCCTCCACCATTCACTTTTTCCACGATTACCACATCGACCAGCAAGCTAGGCAGTTATTACCCGAAACAGGTAATTGCATGCATGCCCACCTCGTGCATTCTCTGCAGGGCTATAAGCTAGCTATAGATGAACTAGCAAGACAAGGAAGATGCCGATCTAATCTAATAAAAGGAATTTTTTGCTGTTGTTACTGCAATATATATACTTGTCCGACGGAGCTGAGGGTTTCAAAGGACATAAAGACATAATCACTACTACATAAGACATACAGACTGACACTATAGCTGCCAGAACAGTTAAAATAGACACCTATAGTGTTTTTCTCAAATTTATAGACTGAAAACATATAAAATCAACACTTTTAAGCAACTATAGGTGTCGGTTCTAGAGAAAAACCGCACCTATATGATATGTACCCTTTTTAAAAAAAACAACACCTATAATATATTATAGGTGTCGTTTTTTAAAAAACCGGCACCTACACCAAACCGAGCTGACCCGACGAGCCGAGCGCCACGCCGGTCTTATCCACTCCGCTATCCACTCGCCTCTCCCATGCCTCTCTCTCACTCACGTCTCTCTCTCTCTCTCTCGGCACCGGCCCGGCGGAGGCGACAGCGCCAGCAGCCACGGCCTCCCCTCTGCCAGATCCGGCCGGAGGGGAGGCAGCAGCCTCCGGTGATGGCGGCACCGACGGCAGGGGTCGCGGAGCCTCCGATGGCAAGGAAAAATAAGGTACTTTGAGGCCATTAATTAACGGAATATAACTGTGTCCTACTAAAACTGAGGGAAATTAATGCTACTCGATCCTCTTATATAAGAAAAGTTGTATATTATCACCACTATAACAAGTGAATGCCATACCGCTATAAGTATGCAAATCTAAATATATGTTAACAATTCTTACCATCAAAACTGAAGCTGCTTATTATTTCAAAAGATAACTAATTTTTATTCCATGATCGTAAACCGCAAACCACATTCCCAATCATTTATCAAACTAACTACTATACACTACAACAAAGATATGGTTTCAAACTTTGTAGCTTTTCATACACAATAATACAAAAGTTGCAGACGACCAAGGGTAGCTATAGTACTAATTAAACCATGTGATGAAATACCAAGGGCATACATTGAAGACAGTTCATAATAAGGAACTTAAAGCGTGTCCACGTCCATATACATGTGAACATCACTGGGTGTTTGAAGTCATCCAATTTTTAAAACATATACAGATTTTCATAATAATAACTAGAACCGATAGCAGCATGTTTGAATGAGCATGTAGGGTTCGGAGGCACCGGGAACCAAACTGATGCCTGATAGCAACAAGACCTATGGCCTCTGTCTCTCTGCAGATAACAGCTCTGGGAGATGGAGTCCATGATCTGGTTGTAAAGCAGGGTGCCTAGCAACTCTCTTAAGAACACTGCAATGGAAATTAATTAGAGAGACCACCAACCCTCAAACTTGTAATTAAATGGAAATTAATTACAGAGCACGGACTGCCTCTCAAGCAGGTTGCTACCCTATTGGCTTTGCCCATCTACTGGACAGTGCGTCGTATGAAGGAAGGGCTAAGCTAGCTACACAAGCAATCGAGAGTACGAGACAACAAGAATGTTTGTTTGTTTACATGCTAGTACTAATCATATCATATCATATTAAATCTTTAGTTTTTTGACCCACTACCAACAGTGAATCGACGATTCTCAGCCCAGAAAGCCTGCTACAGTACTACAGGACCTCACCCTTCATGCACCGTCCGATGTCCACGGGTTCATCGATCCATCCGTCTACGCCTCATAGCCGCATCACCCCGATCCCCTCCGTCATCGCTCCTAACCAATCAGCGCACCCATCGTCCCAAAATCCCCAAATCTTCATCGCCTCCTCGTGAGGTTCGTCGGCGCCGACACCGCCATCTTGCGGAGCCTGTGGCCAGCGTCGCCGCTTTCTTGTCGAGCCAGTGAGGGAAATCGCGGCGCCATCTTCGCCGCCCTCGCCGGACCAGCGTCGCCACGGAGCTAGCCGGCGGCATCTGCCATCGGGCAAGCGCCGCAGCCGACCGCCGCCCTCGTCTCTTCGGCGATCCAGCAGCTGCCGCCGCCTTTCGTCTGGTACGCACTCCTCCTCCTCACGGACAGGGAATGCATGCAGGTTACTGCTGTCTCCAAATCCACATACTCTACTTAATTTTCTTACTGAACCGGCCAATTTCACTCAGCTAGCTGCTAACGGTTGTCCAACTAGCTCGATCCCTGTCCGTGCTGCTCCGTGTCCTCTTTCATTCGTCAGTTTCAGGTATATATCCATATCACTCCTTGCATTGTTACTTTCATTAATCATTTACTAGGCAGTGCCGATTGTTTGGATGATATGATGCTTTGGGTTTATTATTGCTCTTATTATATTTACCACTATCTACAGTAAAAAAAAAGTGCTCTATTTTAGTTTGGAGTAAATTCCTTGTGTGCCCCTGAAAAGTTATTCAATCTCTTACATGCCCCTGAAACTTACTCGATTCCTTCTATACCCTTGAATTTTTGATTGGATCCCCTACATACCCCTACCGTTAGATTTAGCAGCATTCCCTGGTTAGTTTGGTTGAAAATGTCTATAATACCCTTGAGGTTGGAGGAGCTGAAAACTAAGAACATGTTTGGCAGCTGGGTTTGAAACATTCATGACTGCACAGTATGTATTCCGTGAGACTAAAAAAATAGTGCATAAAATTAATTTCATTTTCTTTTGTTATAGCATTCAGTATTTTATAAAAAAATATAACATGACATTGGATCTTTCATGACCACTAACCGACACAGCCTGGGGGTAAAAGACAGTACCCCTACCCGTTTACTCAAACACCATTGCAATTCATCAGCATATCAAGAGCATCGGTAGCACCATTTAATAGGAAGAAAATGAAAATACATCTAAAAGCATTCATACACCATCAGCAGTACACAAATATATTACTTTTTACATCATGAGCATAATAGCACAAGCCCATAACAGTTCAAGGCATCTGCCTGCATAAAGTCAAACAAATTAATGAAGAAACACTAGCAGCAGCAGCTATTCGCATTTTGCTAATCAACGCAAGGGTGTATCTTACCGACGGCGAGGAGCAGCGGAGCAAGGAGGTAATAGGCCGGCGTCGGAGCCCCCGAGAAGAGGGTGAGGTGACAAGAGGGAGGGCGCGGAGGAGGCAGGGAGGAGACGGCGTCGCCATGACCGCAAGCAGAGTCGAGGCCGCGGCGGGATGCGGACTCGTCGCCGCGGCAGGATGCAAAGCCGCCGCCGCCCACCAGATGCGGACCCCGCCACGCCACCGATGGGATGCGGACCCAGCCGCCACCGCCGACCGCAAGCAGAGCCGAGACCGCGGCGGGATGCAGAGCCGCTGCCGCCGCCGGGATGTGGGAGAAGGGCGGCGATGCGCGTGCAACGATGGCTGAAAGCTGGCGATGTGCGGCACCGTGCGTGTGGGAACTATTTTGGAGGATTTGGGGATCGGATGTGGCCCTGTGTTACCTAGGGTTGACAGGGGCATTTTCGCATTTTATGAAAATACTGACAAGCTAACACACACATGAACACAAACATCTGACGGAACCCAAACGGTAGGGGTACGTAGGGGATCCAATCGAAAATTCAGGGGTATAGAAGGAATCGAGTAAGTTTCAGGGGCATGTAAGGGATTGGGTAACTTTTCAGGGGCACACAAGGAATTTACTCTTTAGTTTGCCACTCTACAGGCTCTATGTTTCTTACATATTGATTTTCTGCTCTCCTTTTTTTAAAAAAAAAGAATTATTCAGTGTGGTAGTTTTATCTGTCATTTTACACAAAGAAGTGATAAACTCTACCTGTTATTTCAGTCTTCTAGGAAATGTTGTGCTGAAGATATTTCTGTTTACCCAAAACACCAATCTCTCTAGGAACACGAAGGTGTTTGCCTTTTGCTAATGTCTTACTACCTCTGTTTTTTAATAGATGACGCCGTTGACTTTTTCTCACATGTTTAACCATTCGTCTTATTCAAAAAAAAAATATGTAATTATAATTATTTTATTATGAGTTCTTTTATCATTTATAGTACTTTAAGTGTGATTTATATCTTATACATTTGTATAAAATTTTTGAATAAGACGAATGGTCAAACATGTGAGAAAAAGTCAACAGCGTCATCTATTAAAAAACAGAGGGAGTATTACAGTGCGTAGTGACAGTCAATATTACCTATGTTTACATGACCTCTAACTGCTGCCCGTTTTTTAACCTTTTACCCCTATCATGCTGCAATTCCTGGAGTTGTGCCGGTGTTAGCTATGCTTTCTCTATTATATACATCAGGCTAATTTATCATGTCATTCTACTCAGAAGAATGTACATAACAAATAGCAAATAGACTCGAAAATAATATATCATGAAAAGAATGGTCATGTTTGTGTGCATTGCAAAAGGACCAAGGCAAAATAATAGTGTACTGTACTCAGTTTCTTCCAGTTATATAATAATCCTGACCGTGTTACATTTTGAATTTTTACCCAACTTTCAATTATCATATAAGCTTCAGTGTCTACCGTCACTGTTTGAGTATAGAACAAAATGATTGACATCTAAAACCACCATACCATGTTCATCTGTGTCACAACTTTGGTTTGTTTTTCGGGAATCAGCTACTTCACCTTTGAATCTTGCAAACTTACGTACCAAGTCCTTTAATTTGTACACCATGAACAAAAGTTCCAGATCATATAAATTCGACTAACACAGTGGCACTTCATCCGCGGCAACGCACGGGGTCCTGGCTAGTTATATATCTATTTAGGGCAGGAGGAATGGAAGGACATGAAAGAAAACATGTCTGCTATGAATCTTTGTGGAAATGGAACTAAGATGAACAACTCTGATGTGAGTCACTCTGAAGTAGTAAATTTGGA